AAAGCAAAATTTAGAAGCCATGTCTCATGTTATATACAGGCTATGAATCTTCCAGTTCCCAGCTTTTCTTCTCTCTCCAAATAGTTTTTACAGCAAAGCAAAAATAAAATAGACACCTAAGGACTAAGGGTTTTCAATCCTTTGGCTAATGTTTTATATCACTGCACTTTTCTGTAAAGGGAGCTTTACTGTTACACAAGAATTGAGGTTTTCTTTTTAGGTTATAAAGAAAAATAACAGAAAGGGGAGAGGCAGAGTATCCATTTGTTGATTTGATAAGTATTTACTGAGCCTGTCTCAGGCTGGACACATGCTGAAGGCTGTAAGGAACCTGGAAAGACAATGCCCAGCCTTCAGGAGCTCACATTCCCAAAGGCTGAAGGAAGAACTCTAATTTCTGTTCTCTGACTGATGATTCTTTGGACATTCTCTCTCTGGTTCCGATTGATCCCTCATCTATAAAATGTTAACACTACAAGCTGATAGGTTTATCTTACCTCAGAATTGTGGTGGGTGTCAAACAAAAACTAAAGAATATATGAATGTCTGAAGAGTAGAAAACGCTCTGTTGTTAATTTACTAGGGTTTAGAGTTAAATTATGTAATTTAACACTTAATTCATGTAATTTAACACCCAATTTTAAAAATTAGTGTATGTAATGATGTAAGGCACATTCATTCATTCAAAAGGCGTACACGATAATAATCTAATTCAGGAATCAGCAAATGACAGTGCATGGCCCTAATCCAGCCTGCTCCCTAAAGTTTTACTGAAACACAGGGTAGGCGAATGCTTGGCCCTGGTGCCCTGGTGGCTTTTCATGTCTCCACATAGGGCAAAGCTTAACTACAGTTAAGCTAAGCTTTGGCAGAGCGCCCTGGGACCCGCTCGATCACGAGCATGGGAGGATTACGAGCGCCTGCTACAAAGCTGTTTTCCTCCCACCTCCCTGTGCTCCAGGGAGGCTGTCAGTAGATGGTTTCTCATCGCCTCCTGGGTTCTAATGAGGTATAAGGCTTTTTGCCCCCTACTCTCGCCCCTACTAGGATGCAGCTGCAGGCTATAAAACCGCAGCACAGAATCAGCTCCTCAGCAGCGTGGGGTCCGAGTTCTCCCGTGCATTGTCATCTGGCCTCTTCTGTTTTGGTGTCATCTGTGGGATAAGGGATCTGGGTAGCTGACATCTTTTCTGCTTTTACTTTTGTTGTCTACATAAGTAATAAACTGACTGAATCTAAAAGTGAATCCTTCCTTTGCCGGATGAACCTGTGTGCCTTTTGCTGACACATAGCCACACCCACTCACTATGGTCTGTGGCTGCTTCCATGCTACAAGGACAGAGTTGAGCAACTGCAAGAGAGACCCTATAGCCTGGGAAGCCTAAGCATCTTCTGTCTCGTTCTTTACAGAGAAAGTTTGCCAACCCACTGATCTAATTAATGCACTGTCCTTAAAATGGTTTTAAAGTCTAAATCAAAAGCCTTTCCATCACCACTTCCCCAAGCTTTCCTTTCCTTAGGCCTGAGGAGCTTCAATCAGCCAGACTAACTGAAGGTTATACTATTTCCTTGGCGGGGGTGTGTGTGGGGAATAACAGCTTGATTTCTGGACGTGACTATTGCAGCTCAAGTCCTGTGATCATTCTTTTCTTCTTGAAGCAGGGAGATAAGACCTCTATCAGCTCTTGGCCAGTCTGTTTTCCTCCAAGTGGCAAGTTATGACTTTATATTGGTACTTACATCAGTAGGAATTAAGTTAGTGGCTATTCTTGCCTGCTTCACCTCGTGAATCCCTATGAAGACCTTTCACCACTTTCACGCTGCTATTGGGAGCCCCTGGCTGGGCACCGGCCTCAGGTGAGGGTGGTGTCAGCTTACCTACCTTCCATTTCACATGCTGTACCCATATGCAGCCCTTTCCAGATCCCCATATTCTTCAGGATTCAGCAAATATTAATTCATTTCATGAAACTAACACGTGTGTGTGGTAAGTCTTAGAGTACCAAGGATACACAGGAAAGGTAAAATTTCCCTCTCACTAGACATCCCCAGAAGTCACCATCCAGCCTGATGAGCTACTTTATTATTTGCATAGTTTTTCCATGCTATTTCTTAAATGGATTGTGCAAAAAAAAAAGGTTAAAATCAAAACAAAATCTTTCTGCTTAGTTTTTGAGGTCAAACTCAACTGAAATATATGTTTAAAATATTGTTCTTTCCAAACAGCTTTCCGAGGAAAACAGCTACGGGAAGTTAAAGACATTGTGCCGTTGGCTCCAAGTTTCAATGTGTGCACAGTGTGGATGGCGCAGGCGTGCACTGTTTGCAGCCCCTCCTGGGTCCAGGGTCGCCTCTAGAACAGCTAGAGAATGGAGACTCATTTTACAGTAACCCAGGGGTACAAAACCTCTTTTTGGTCTCCTTAACCCAGCCTGGTGGCAGGCATGATAAGGCAGGCACTAATGGAAGAAGCTGGGAGTACTCGTCAGTACACCTGAGTTCAGCCTGTCCTGGTACTAACTAGCTCTGGCTCGCAAGAACACCGTGAAAAATGCCATCAAATGGCTCGTCCCTGGCTTCCCTGGTGGCGCAGTGGTTGAGAGTCTGCCTGCCGATGCAGGGGACACGGGTTCGTGCCTTGGTCGGGGAAGATCCCACATGCCACGGAGCAACTAAGCCCGTGAGCCATGGCCGCTGAGCCTGTGCATCCAGAGCCTGTGCTCCGCAACGGGAGCGCCACAACAGTGAGAGGCCCACGTACTGAAAAAAAAAAAAAAAAGGCTCGTCCCTGCTGAAATCTGACCACTGAGCATGATGTCCTCATTGTACCAGGGGCAACACAATGAACCAAAGATAAAGTCTGGGCCTTGGGGTCAGAAAGTCCGGCTCTGAACCTGGGTTTCACATCACATGAGCTATGTGACTTGGGGCAGGATGCCAGAAGTCCCAGACACCATTTCCTCATCTGGAAAATAGAGATGATACTTGACTTTACTGTCAGGGTGTAATGATGAAGGAAAGTGGGGATAAGATCTAGCACAGTGCCAGACATGTAAAAGAATCTTGGGAAATTGTATCAACTGTTATCATTTATAAGCATTTTAATTGATATCAATCTGCATTGCCTCTGAAAAACACATATTCAAAAAAATGAACAAAAAAATGAAGGAGACAGGTAATTTAGTTAAGCTCAATTTCTCTTCTAAACACTTCAAAATTCATTTATAAAAATGATTTTCTGATAACAAAATTACTTACATTGTACTATGAAAAATATATTTAACAAAGAAATGAGTACTTATTGTTACTCAATTGTTATCCTGTCCCTATGCCGTGTATTTCTTTAGGCATATTTCTTGAAAGTTAAAATTGCTTTTGTCCAGAAAAAGAAAAACCCACACTATCTTTCTCCATAATTTATAAAAAAGAGATCTGGTCACGTAGATACCAGTTCCTTAAAAATGGATTTTTTTCTGCAATGAGTGTTAGAGAGGCCTTCCTATCTTTCTATAAGATGAAGATAGAGAAACATGGGGAGAAATCCAGAGAAACTCTTGGGTTGAAATGTTTAGATTTTCTTTTCTCTAATGGAATATTTAAGGGTCAAATACAAACTAACCCACTCTGGGTGTGAGCACACAGAAGACCACAGTCTATCAGTTTACAATAAAGTTATCATCTCTCACTGCTTTTCTCTGAGCGAGTGGACAAGCAAACAGCAGGGAGATTCAGCTCTAGATATAACTGTAAATCTTGTCCTCCCAGGAGCCTGATAAAGACAGGCAAGGGGCTTATTCTCCTTGAAAGAAAAAGGGGGAACTGTCAACTCCTCCTGGGCGGCTGGGCCCTGTGGTGGTTGATGCCTGTGGATTCATGGCTGAACTTCAAATGCAGCTGCCTAGGAGACAGGAGTGCACAGATGATGCCTGGCCTCCCTGACCTGATGCAGGACCTAGTTGCCTAAGTTGCACTTACAAGTTGCTGAGCTAGCAGAGCACCAGGAAAAAGGTGAATTGCCTCGTGCTTTGCAAACCAGAAACTCCCATTTCAGCACCAGAAATACCTGTGTATGGCACAGGACTGTTTTCCTGCCTGTTATCCCCTGTCATGTCCCCCCAGAGCGTGCTGGGCTGGAGCTGGAGGACAGGTGCCCTTCCAGCTTCATTTAACTTGTGACACTCCTGTTAATGAGACCCCAACCCTCCCTGTCGCCCACTGAACCATCAGCAACTGGGCTAGAATAATTCCTGCCCTAGGCTAGTCCTGCAGGAAACACAAATCAGAACAAATTTCAAGCAGCCATTGGTTAAATTTAGGGAAAAGGTGTTATATAAAAGAGAGTTGTTAATCAATGTCACTATTTGTTATTATTAATCACAACAGCATCATTATTAGTTGGGAGGTCCCTAAGGTTATTTATTTCTCAACACTGATACCAAAGGAGGCATCACATTATATACCTCATTGTCTAAAATCATCTAGAAAGGAATATTCTAACGATTTTTATTAAACATAAAAACCTTCCTTCTACATAAGAATACCCATTTTGCCCATTTGCATTTTACGTTACATTTATTTTCCCATTTGATTCTACAGCAATTCACATGTGTTAGATGAGAAAGTGAGGTTTAAAATACTTTCGTGGCCAGGTTAAAAAAAAATATGTGTGCGTAGCAGATTAATTCAGGAACACCAAATATGGGCATCATCACTGAATGTTATAACGCACTGAAAAATTTATTTTAATCCTGACATCTGCTTACAGATGTTATACAGTGGCTGCTCCCCCACAGATACTGATGTGTTACTGTCATCACAACAGCCTGGTTTGCATCAGAACTCTCTGCATCCTGGGATGCAGGATTCACAAGGATGCTAAGGTCCTCATCCCATTCAACCACGGGAAATCTGAAAGCCCTCGGGGCTCCTGTGCCCTCTCTCTTGGTGGCGCCTCGACAAGCGGCGCCAGCACGCCGGATGGTCCCCTGGGGCTGCCCTACCTGCGCGTGTGGTGGAACTGGCACCTCTTCAGTGGGATCTTGGCCACGTGCTCCCGCAGACCCACGAACAGGACGCTCTGGCTGTGGAGGATCTGCAGGCTTCTAATGGGCTCTGGCCGCCTCTCGGGGAAGAGCTCCATCTCTTCCAGCAAACAGCTGCCCGAGGTCTGAGTCAGGGGCGCCCGCACTTTTTTAATGGTGCCGTAATCTGCAGAGGCGACAGGGAAAGAAGAAAGTGAGGTCAACGGGTCGCACCAGCCACTCGCCAGCTGAGCCACCAGGGTTCTCCAGCCTGGCTGCATGTAGGATCATCTGCTGATGCCAGGGCCCTACCCTGGCTGGACCTGTTCAATTAGTCCCGCTGTATGTGGGACCAGGCACCAGTATTTTCCCAGCTCTCAGCAGCGCGGACATACAGCCAAGGACGAGAACCACTCGGCTACGAGCTGCCTGGTCCCGATGCAAGTCTAGAGACCCAGAGCACTGTAAGCTCACTGCGGCTCAATGCAGCCAGTTTTGCACCATCCCCTGGAGAACATCAAGTGAGAGGAATCCCTGGATTCTCAGTGAGAGACAGAGGAGCTGACCCTGCTGCCCCAGCACAGAAGACCCCACATGATGGACAGCTGCAGATATGCAGGGAGCAGAGGACCACCTGCTTCCCTCCTGCTCCGGAAGTACATCCTTCTCTGCCTTTCTGTCTAGATCCCCTCCTTCCTCTCTTTCTCCCCCAAGCTTGTTCTGCGGGATGCTCTTCTGGGTCTCAGCTCCACGGCTTCTTCTCTCCTGTAATAATGAACATCCATTTCTGACTCGGTCCCCTCCCCACTCGAGCTTTTCTGCTCACCACGTGCTTATGCTCATTTATTTTGGCTATGAGCACTGCCCGAGGACAAGTGTCCTAGAGTCCCTGGAACCACAAAGACTCTCCAGAGTGGCTGTGATGGGCACAGAGAAGGGTCCTCTCCACCAGGGAGTGGCATGGTGCAGCCAACCCCCAGGGTTGGGACCCAGACTTGAAACGTGCTGTTGTCCTTGGCGCGCTGTGTTGAGGCCCCCAAGGCCAGTGTGCAAGTCCAGGGAATGAGACCCAACCCTCTAGAAGCACTTCTGAAAGCCGTTCACAAGTTCCTCAAATAACCCTGAAGGCACTGACTTCATAAAACCCATGGGGATCTGAGTTTCAAAACGTTGTAATTCTTATTCTGTAAACACAGATAATGAGGCTATCAAGTCATCTAAAAAAGGAAATAAAATCAAGAACCTCTGGCTTCAAGGCTTCCGATCAATCTGCTAATCTCACAAAAGATTTGGACATTAAATACCTTTCCAGTTTTTCATTCCTAGGAGAGTCCTTAGAGACGAAGGATGTTTACATTTAGAGAGAAAATACCTAGGTGGATATATATTATCCTGAGTTCATTAAGAAAAGTATATCCGAAACATCTCCAGTGAACATTTATTGATTATGAACTGACTGCTATAAGCACTATGCATGTAACAGTGTATAAAATTATGCATATATTAATGTATGCAGTATTAGTAAACTACTGCTTAATTTTATTTTAGGTTAGCTGGTTAAACATGTCACTTTTGAGAAAGTTCAAGCACAAACAGGATAACTATGTATACTGGGAAGATTAAAAATATAGTACCTGTCTTTTTTTTTTTAACATCTTTATTGGAGTATAATTGCTTTACAATGGTGTGTTAGTTTCTGCTTTATAACAAAGTGAATCAGTTATACATTTACATATGTTCCCATATCTCTTCCCTCTTGTGTCTCCCTCCCACCCTCCCTATCCCACCCCTCTAGGTGGTCACAAAGCACCGAGCTGATCTCCCTGTGCTATGTGGCTGCTTCCCACTAGCTATGTATTTTACATTTGGTAGTATATATATGTCCATGCCACTCTCTCACTTTGTCCCAGCTTACCCTTCCCCCTCCCCATATCCTCAAGTTCATTCTCTAGTAGGTCTGTGTCTTTATTCCCGTCTTGCCCCAGGTTGTTCATGACCTTTTTTTTTCTTAGATTCTATATATATGTGTTAGCATACGGTACTTGTTTTTCTCTTTCTGACTTACTTCAGTCTGTATGACAGACTCTAGGCCCATCCACCTCACTACAAATAACTCAATTTCGTTTCTTTTTATGGCTGAGTAATATTCCATTGTATATATGTGCCACATCTTCTTTATCCATTCATCTGTCAATGGACACTTAGGTTGCTTCCATGTCCTGGCCATTGTAAATAGAGCTGCAGTGAACATTGTGGTACGTGACTCTTTTTGAATTATGGTTTTCTCAGGGTATATGCCCAGTAGTGGGATTGCTGGGTCGTCTTTAAGAGAAGAGTGTGTGTTTGTGAACGCACAGCAAGGGAGTGGGCGGGAACAGAGAGAGAGGGAGAGACGGGGAGAGGGAGGGGGGAGAGAGAGAGGCAGGGGAAGTCTACGCAGCAAGGCAGCATTTTAACAAATGCTCACACTTAAAGTGTGCAAAACAATTTGTATGTATTTACTGTGTAAGTCAATCTAATTTTGACCTGGAGACCACAATTTCCAGCTGGCGGGAAATTCAACCCAGTGATGTTTGGGTCTTCCTGCTTGCATGGGGCAAAGCATCAAAGATGAGCCCGGCACCACGGCAGGGATGGGAACAGGTGGCAGCTTCAGGGAAGGTGACCTCAGCGTAGTGTCTCAGCCCCAATACCCTGAGAGGAGGTCTCCCCCGGCAGACGGAAGTGCCAGCCTCCTGTGGACCAGTGACAGGCACGGAGCCTTTTCTGCCCTTTGGGACATCCCGACAATAGGACGCGGTCCGAGGCAGAAGTTAGGAGCCAGGGCCTGCCCCCATCCAGTGAGCTGCGAGGCTCTGATGAGTCTTAAGTAGAGACTCTTGGGAATAAACACACTACTCTATATAAAATAGATAACTAGGGCTTCCGTGGTGGCGCAGTGTTTGAGAGTCCGCCTGCCGATGCAGGGGACGCGGGTTCGTGCCCTGGTCTGGGAAGATCCCACATGCCGCGGAGCGGCTGGGCCCGTGAGCCATGGCCGCTGAGCCTGCGCGTCCAGAGCCTGTGCTCTGCAACGGGAGAGGCCACAACAGTGAGAGGCCCGCGTACTGCAAAAAAAAAAAAGATAATAAGAACCTGCTGTAGAGCACAGGAAACTCTACTCAATACTCTGTAACAGCCTATATGGGAAAAGAATCTAAAAAAAAGAGCAGATATATGTATACATATAACTGATTCACTTTGCTGTACACCTGAAACTAACACAACATTGTAAATCAACTATACTCCAATAAAAATTTTAAAAAGAGAGACTCTTGGGATAAAACTGAACATTTTAGAGCAATGCAGGGGTGGAAGTGAGGAGGGCCAGAAGAGGCGAGAGTCCAGGTGGCGAACTGTCATCTTTTGACAGTTACCGTGCTATTTTCATGGGAAACATGGGTGAGAGAACTAAATCCTATTCAACAGGTGCACAGAGACTGCTGGCTGTTTATTATTTATTTTGCTGATGGATTATTACTCTGAGAAACCAATCAAAAACAATTCAAACGTCAATATGCTCATACGCACTTTGAATTCTTAAGCAATTGTGCGGGGAAAAAACAAATTTTCAAAGATCTTTAATCATTTGATTTAAAAGAGCTAACCATCATTGATCAAAACTTCTCAATGTGTATTTCTGCACGCCTTGTATCTGACTTTCCAGCTGACTGGGATCTAACAAAACTAGAGGACTTCTTAGCATTTCAGAGAAGGGTACTCAGCGTGGACTTAGGTGCTCGTCCACCATCTACGCCTCTGCTGGGTCTTCTTCACTCTGAGCCACCTGATCATGTGAAGAGCCTCGTGAAGTTCCCCGTTCTGTTGGCAGCAGGGTCAGCACATCCGGACCCCAGGAGCCTCCTTCTGTTCCCTCAACGCCTGCCCTTCCTCAGCCGGCAGCTTGGCCACACTGTTCACACACTGTCACCTTAGTGTAGAACACCTTTCTCACCTGGATGCCCCCAGAACACTCACCCTACGCTCCTGTCTCTGGCGTGAGCACCTGGACACATGCACGACCACACCCCTCTCCTGCCTCGGACCCTCTGCATCAGGTGTCAACACGGTACCAAGTCACCCATGGGCCATGTGAGGCCCGAGCCCAAGCTGGTGTCAGTAAATCAGCTTTACTGCATGTGGGCAAATGGACCCAAGTTTGGTTTGGTAACAGAGCAAGGATGTGGCAAGGCCGTGTTTTTTTGTTTGTTTGTTTTTTCTTTTAGAGGCAGAAAGTCAGAGCCTGGCTCCTAAGAAAGCAAGGAACAAAGATCCACTTCATATGAGAGGACAGAACAGCAGGACTTGGGGAGGGCCCTCAGAGTACTTTTATGTTTTGCTGCCTTTGCTTTATAATATCTGCCACAGTTTAACTACTAATTTCATTGTTTTGTGGCTTCTACACTTGCCGTTATTAAGCTCCATGAGGGCAGACAGTATCAGTTTTGTCCTCTGATGCCTGCAGAGCGGCATATGTGCTGGATGGGAGACTGAACTAACGAGTGAGGGAAGGAAGGCAGGAAGGAAGGCAGCTGTCATGGGAATGTCATTACCACTTGTACATTTGCTAAAAAGACTCCTGATGAATATTTTTGCATTGCAACATTTAATGAGAGGTACGATACCAGTCAGATCAGTCAGTGTGAAGGTGAAACAAGAAACAGTATTTCCCCAATTCCCAAATATTTCAACTAAAAGTGTCATAAACTAAATATGAATGAGGAAAATCATTTTCATTGGTTTCAGCTGAGAAAATATCAGCTCTGAAAATGCGCCATAGAAAAATAAAACCATGTACACCTGAAACTCAATACTCTAATCAAAGTCAGTGGAAGGAAAACAATCAATGCTAGAAATACAGAAAACCTTCTCGATCAGTCTGTAAAATTTTGAGATCAGAAAGGAAAGAGAAATTTGGCACTTCCTGTCAATTGCAGATCACTTCCCCAAGGAGAGAGAAGGAGAGCGAGCTTCTGGAAGTGCAGAATCGGAGCTGACAGCAAAATCACGGGGCTGGCACCGCCTTGGCCCAAATTCTCATAATATTCACCTTTTTGTGAGAATGTGAAACACTAATTACGTTATGGACACACATTTGAGGGTCAGATATTTGTAGTTTATCTCTAAAATTGAAAACCACAGGTATTC